AAGAGATGTAATACTTTCCTGCTGAGCCTTCTTCTGCACCCTGGAAATTTGTTTCTCCAGAACCTTCATTCTTCTATTGGCATTCTTTTCTTCAGCTCTAGAAGGTTTTCTAGAGTAGATAGCTTTGGCTTTGATCTTGCCAGCTGCCTCCTGGCTGGCTGATCTACCTCTTCTGGAGCTGGATCTCTTGTTGGGAGGAGAAGAAGAGGCTTCTTGCCCTGCCATGCTGTTGGCTGACAGAAGCTGTTCAGCCATTTTGACAGCGCCTTGATAATTGCTGCTTAAAATGGGGCTAAGTAGGGCTGGGCTTTGTGGTGGCACATCAGCACAGGTAGCCAGCACACTCTTCCTGTAGCTCCGCGTTCCTGAAACTGCCCAGTGAAAAATCTGGCAGCAGAAGATGGCCAAGCCAAAAGGGGCTGTCAGAGTGGGCTCCAGAACGCAAGGGGTGCTAAAAGGTGAACCGCTAAAGCTGCTGAAGTCGCAAAGCCTGAAAAGTCAAGAAAAGCCTAAAAAACAGCTGTTGAGTGGCTTGCAGCGCATGGGAAAAACTTTCCATGTCAAAGGCACGGCTGCAAGCGAGGAAGGCTACAGGGAACGGCTTGAAGGAAGAAAAAGGTGAAAAAGGTGAAAAAAAGTCTTGGCAGTGCTTTAACAGTACTGCGAGAGCTAACCTGCCAGCACAAAATGAAGGATTGAAGAATCCACGCTTCTGACCAGAGATTGAAAGATAATCTTTGCCACAACCTCTCAGGGCAAGACTGAGTCGTGAACTGGGGAAAGTCAGTTGACAAGGGGTGTGGCAAAAGATTATGGGCTCAGTCTCCAGGCAGAAAGGCGTGTGTCAACCCATCCATGGATTATCCAATCGTCGTGCTGGAGAATAGACAATTTGTGGAGTTGAATATGAGGCAGTCCCTTTCCTTGGAAGAACTAAAGCTAAGAGGTGGGAGAGGGTAAGCTGTGAATTGCTTGGATTGAGGTGGGACTTCAGCTAAAGACTGATGAGATTTGAATAACGAGAGCAATAAGTAGCGACAAGATTGCTATTGCTAAACCATGTGACATGGAGCTTTGTGATCACATCACTTAGCAAACAGTTTCAATGAACATCATAACTTAAGGGCTATTTTTATAAAGCAATTTATTTAAGGAGACAGGTTGAACTGTCTTTACTGGAAACAAATATTGCATATTGCTTTAGTAGTAAACCAATATTGAAAGAAACCTTTTTCACTGAAACTGAGTTGTAGAGAGCAGAATACTTTAATAGAAGGTGCCAGCAAATAAACCTACATATGCTGAATTACACTAAGATCATCTTTTACATTGGTACCTCCCAGTAATCTTTATATTATTTAGGACAGTAAAGCAGTCAAAATAAATAAATATATGACCAAATCCAGTTGCTGCTCCACTTAAGCAGACTATCACGACTTTTTGTGGTTGGAAGACTTTCATAGAACAAATGGATACTTGCACTGTCAGAAACAAGTCTCAGCATGTTCAAAGGACCTCCCTGTATTACACTCTAAATTTCCCATCTTATACTGTCATTAGATTAACATCAGCCTACATACAATTGGGGAAAACATACGAAGCTCAATAGGTTTTCACTTAATCATTTTCTTTTTTGCACCATCAAATCTTTGATGGATTACTGTGCATAAATTATGTTTCAAAATCTCTCTTATGTAAGATAAAAATCTAGCTGAGGACATTCTTTCAGAAAAATAATCTAGAGAATAGAAACCAACTGTATTTTCACCAGGTTCAATACTAGCAAGTATCCTGTTCTCTTCTAGAGCCCGTGGTCTTTTTTATAGTTTTCAACCATATATTTTTGGGTTATAGTTAATGTCCAGAAATAGTAATGGGAGTGTGTATAAGTAGATAATGCAATAAACTTGACGTTTAACACTAATTAATGGACTACTTGTGTGATTCTTTAATTAGTATCCCTTTATTATTTTTACAAATAACTCAAGGGGGTGAACAATCCAACATACCTTCCTCCTATTTTTCCTACAACAATCCTGTGAGGTGAGTTGGGCTGAGAGTGAGTGGCTACCCAAGGTCACCTAGTAAGCTTTCATGGCTAAGTTGGCATTGAACTCAGTTTTCTAGTTTCTAGCCAGGCACTTTAATCATTAAACCAAACTGTTTTTTCATCCTAGGGAAACCACCACTGAGTGTATGAAGAACAAAGGATTAATAGTTAAGATGTAGCATTATCAATAAGGAATCTCTCTTACAAATAGGGATAAAAATGGTTGGGATGATGCCACAAAATTATACCAAGAGCTGCAGTGGCGCAGTGGTTAGAGTGCAGTACTGCAGGCTACTTCTGCTGATTGCCGGTTGCCTGCAATTTGGCAGTTCAAATCTCACCAGGCTTAAGGTTGACTCAGCCGTACATCCTTCCAAGGTTGTTGGGGACAATATGCTGACTCTATAAATTGTTTAGAGAGGGCTGTAAGCACTGTGAAGCAGTATATAAGTGTAAGTGCTATATACTCTGAACAAAATATTAAAAATGGTTTAAAACTCTAAAAATTTAATTAAATGTGCTTCAACTAAATTGCAGTTTATTATTTTGAAGCACATATAACTGCTTATGGCATAAACTTCAGAAGGCAGATCTTGGGTTTGTAATCTTCATATTAGAGTATGAATTTAAAACAAATCACAGCAATATGTTTAAAGGTACTGAATAGCTGTGCCAGGGGTCCTCAAATTTTTTAAACAGAGGGGCCTCATGGTCCCTCAGACAGCCAGGGGGGCTGAACTATAGATTGATCTGCCTAAAGACCAGATGGGTGGGGGTCTGGTCAATTTAGCAGTCCATTTTGCATTTGTGTTTCCTAAGCTGTACTTGCTCAATCTAAGGCAGAGGTATGAAAATTACTTTTATTGAGGGCCAGATCAGCATTGTATCTGTCCTCCGTGGGCAGGATGGGAAGGACATGGCCAGAGTGGTCTTGATAGACTTGATGTGGCCAGGGGGCATGACCCACTTGACATCGCTCACATGGGTGCTGCCTGTGGGTTTGGGCAGGGTTGGGAAGGGAATCAAAGGGTCTCTGGTGGGTGGGGTGGTGGACGGGAAGCTCATCCTGCAGGATGTGGTGAAGGCGGGGGGGGGGGCAATTATAACCGGAAACACATTGACCATTGTGCACTCCTGTGTGTGCAAGAGGAATGGTTTCCAGCTGCAGACACAGCCTGCCATCCCTTCAGCTAGCACACGCTATGGCTCTGGAGCCAGTTGCCAGCACTGGGCTGGCTGTCCAAGCAGCAAGTGGAGGAGGGAGAAAGGAATGTGATGCGGACTGCTAGATGCGCTTATTCCTGTTTTGGCTTGTGGTTGGAGAGCAGGTCGCCACTGGTCATCTTTTCCTCAGCCCCCTTGTGAATCTTGCCCTTTGAGCATGTTCTCCTCACTCATCTGACTAGAGTGGTGGATGCACAAGGGGTACTTTGCCAGCAGGCCCTGCAGGAAATGGGGGGGGAGCATGGCATTTCTCTGTCCACTACCAGACCCAACATGCAGTGCCCATCCAGGCTTCCCCAAAGCATGGCGGGAAGCAGGGTAGGAAGTGGTGCCCATTCCAAAGTTGGGAGCATACCAATTTGGGCAAGCCCTGCTGACTCACCCGCTTGCATGAAGGGAAGCCCACTACCCTTGAGCCGCGCCTTCTCAGAATGCCGGCTGACCGGGGAATTTGGCTGCAACCTTCATCTTGGAACAGAACTGCAGTTGGGAGAGCTGCAAAACAGAAGGCTGCCATCAGTCCAAGGAAGAGATTGCAGCCTCGGGGTCTCCGTCTGAAGGAGCTGTGTCAGTCAGGCAGAGCCCTGAAAGGACTCTGGAGCTGCTGCCTCACAGGGCAGGGCAGGCCTTGGCTCTCCCTGCAGAGCAGCCCAGATGAAGGAGGCATATCATTGAGGGTCTCTACCCCTGGCAGCTCCTGGGTTGCAACTCCGCCGCTTGGCAGACCCTCCCAGCTTGAAGGAGGCAAAGCAGCCAGCTAGAAAGGTGCATTCCCCTCGTACACATCGGCACCAAGGCCGCCAGCAGCTCACGCAGGCCCATTAGGTCACTGCTGTTGCCGCCTGGAGCACCAGGCCTGCCCACCCCAAAGGAGGCAAAGTGGCCTTTCTACAGGCCGAGTTGGTAAAGCACGCTCAGGCCCACCAGGCAAAAAAGGGCCACCGTAAGTGGGGAAAGCCAGGTCCCCATCGGAGCCCTGGCTGCCCAGGCCCAGCAGAGATGAGGGGAGGCACACAATCCTAGCTGGGCTTGGGTGGCCATAGCCACGGGGATAAAGCTTTCTGCACTTGCAAGCTGAAACAGATGGGACAGAGTAGGCAGCAGTTGCCCCACACCCTCCTCACCTTCTCTTCTCTTGCAGTGGCAGCAGTAGCTGAGGGCAGAGGCACAGGGGAAATGCATGTGGTCATGCCTGCTGAATGCGTTGGGCAGCCACCTGTCCTGTCCCAGCCAATGGGATGGAGCAGATGTAACCAGAGGTCAGCATCACATGCCTCCCCTCCACTGTGCCTGCTGCTGGTGCCAGTGCTGCCACTGTCATGCCTGTTTCTTGGAAGGCCAGTTGCAGAGTCCCTGCTGACGGACACCTGCACCTTGGCGGATGCCACTCCTTTTGCATCACCTGCTGCAGCTGCCAGCGGGTGAGGGGCAGCCAGGGACCACAAGGGTATTCCACCTACACTGCCCTTGTGCCCGGTTGCAGCCGTTGCAGGTGAAGCACTCCTCCCAAGGCCCCCATCAACCTGGAAAAGCCAGCCATACAAGTAGTGGCTGGGAGGAGAGAGGCAAAGTGCAGGCTGGAAACATTGCAGGGGTGACCCGTATCTGGCCCACAGGCTCTAGTTTGAGGACCTCTGAGTTACTGGACCTAGAGATTAAAACTTTATTAAAACCTGAGACCAGCAAGGAATCAGTTTAGGCAACTAATACGGGAACCGTATCATAAAACATTTTAATATGAATACCTCACATCCACAAAATAAGAAAAACTATTTACAAAATTTTGTTTACAATTTGGTCACTTTTATATTAGCTTTAGACATGTACAGATATTCTTGTGCCTTACTCAGGCATTTATTGGCAGATTAATTGCATGTTTTTATATGCAATGGCTCTCCCTTAGTGCACTATCCCAGAGTAAGCATGTTGTATTTACATTCCCCTTTTATTTATGGCTCAACACAACAAAAGAAACCCCAAACAATAGCACTTTCCAATCTGAACACTGCCAAGTTTCTTAATCACACAATTCTGTCTTCAGTAACACAATTTAGTAAAATGTATATACTTCTACAGTTTTCCTCTCCAATTTTTACAAATCATGTATCAGCAATGGGTTTAATTGTCCAAACTACCCTAAATCAAGGAAAGTATATACAACATAACTAGATCCCCCCCACCGCCCCGCCCTGATCAAGGCACTTTTCTGGGCAATGACAAAAGCTCCTTCCCTTGCCATTATAACAAATGTAGAAACTGGATTTGTTTCTCTTTTAATAACAATTGTATTTTCTGCATTATAGTTCTTGAATTATGGCATTTTACATATATAAAGAATGCTTTAACCAGCAATATTATTTCCATGAAAATAATTCAATTGCCTTCATATACAGAGTTGCTACATTCACAGTTTTCAGAAATTGTAATTAGTTTCTCCAGTTGTGCTTTTAAAACTCCAAGATTGATTCCCTCCCCTTCCCACAAAAAATAGTAAGTGCAAAGAAAAATGTCTTGTGCAACTGCAACAGTTACAGAGTTATAAACTCCAAAGGAATGAGAATTTTCTTTCATTCTCAGTTTCTTTCTGCTGTCTTTCCAGATATTGCTTATGAGCTTTGTCAAGGCTTTGAAGATTCAACATTTGCAGATGATACTGGTTTATTCAACCCACATGAAATAGCAGCATCGTGGATTTGCTTTAGGTTCTCCAATGCCTCATTTTTAGCATACTTGAGAAGATCAGCTTGGCCCTGTAAGAACAAAAGGAGTTTCATTTATCAATATTAAGTCCACCAGCCTTGATTTATCTTACAATAGCACCCCTCTTCACGAAGATGAAAAACAGATCGCTTTCAGCTAAGACACATGAAGATAATACGGCTGGGCTGCTCTGTATCCAAGTGGTCAAATACATATTTTTAAAAGACAAGAATCTTTCCCACCAAACAATTTTTGGCAAAAGCAAACGTTTTTGTATTTTGAGTGGAATCCAAGAACCATGGAAACCATGAGAAATTTATTATTGCTTGTGATCCAGCAATTATAATGATCATACATTGTACATCTTGTTTTTTCAATGATGAAATTAAAACACTGCACATTCAACTGGGAATTCCAAAGTGTCTAGAGTAGCATTTTTCAGAAACACAGAACTGGACCAGCACCCATCAAAGCATACCATACATCTGAAAGATTTTGAATTATTATTATTATCAACTGTTCTGTCTCGAATCTCACATATTGGGAAAATTCAGCTTGCATATCAGATATGTAATTATGAAAGCAAACTGATAAAAATTATTAAGTCATGCAAAGTTTCTATAATGGAGAAGGTAGAAAATGTACACCTGTCTTACAGTCAGGATAATGTAATCATAGTCATAGCAACTCCTAAGAATAATGAAATCCAATGATATTTTGATCAATGATAGGTATTTATAGAAATTAAAAAATATATATTTTTGCCTAAGACAAATAATTGGACAATTAAAATGGAAAAATCAGAATACCGATTATATTTGGCAATTTAGTTTGTTGTGCAAGAGACATTTATCAATGGAACTTTCACTTTAATTGCATTCCTTAATTTATCAAAATAAAACTGCTTTTTATTTTCCCATAAAAACAAGACCATTAATTTAAAACATAGTAGAATAAATATGAATAAATGAATCATATACTTTATCAGAATCATTTCCATAAATCTGAGTAATGCGTTATTTATTTTACTTATTTTACTTCATTACTCTTGTCATAAATCAAGTTTGTATTTGCTGAAATTAACCTGGTGAATTGCATTTTGAATTCAATCTGCAAAGCAAGATTTGCAATCTCACTATTAAGCAAAGTGAACAAAAACTTTGTTATTTCATTGAAGCTTGCCCACTTCTATTATTGGTAAACCAAGTTATTTCAAAATAGTGGGGAATTTAGAAGCAAGTAGCAAATAATTGGCTATTCAATTTTAGATTGATATGGGACAATAGCTGATGGCTCACATTCATAGCAGAATAACTTAACTTGATCAATAATATACCAAACATTGCCACGGTTCAGAAATATCTTGAAATGAGTACATGACTAAAATTTGGACTGTAGAAACAATGTCATTCTGCATGTTAAATATGCTCCTCAAATTCTTTTAGGTACCCATAATGTCAACTCTCAATGAGATCAAAAGATAGTTGATTTAACAAAGAAGATGGAGATGGCTGCAACTGATAGTAATATTAGATTTGAAGATGCTTAATGGATCTGTTTTTTTTTAAAGATACAACATGTTATTATTGTAGTAGCTCAGGAAAAATGGCTGCAGAAAGCAACAACAGTGACCCAGTGCATTGGTGTGCATGTGCATGCTGTATATATTCCAGATTCAATACAGAGTGAAGGAGTTTGCCTAAGAGGAAAGCAAGCATATTAGATAAACTGAGCTAGCACAAGTAAAATAAAAACCATACTTTTGGCACAAAGGAAAAGATAGTCAGAGCCTGACTTCTTAGTGAGCTGGAAAGAGGAGATATGGTTAGCAGCTTCTATTTGTGCACTAGTCTGATTAGACTATGACAAATTGCTTTATAGATCAGAAAGAAATATTTTAAGTGTTACACAATCCATGGTCAGAAAGAAATATTTTAAGTTTTACAGTCCATCTTTGCTGATAAACAATATTTTTCTTTACCAAATTTCTGCAGTTGTAGTTCCTGTCACTCTTGCATAAGAGAATGAAACATCCTACCTACAGAGTCAGCATAAAGAAGGTCTTGTAGATCAGTTAAGAATATGAATCTAAATGTATCTTTCCACAGGTATTCAGGAGCATGCTACACACTATTATCAGCAAAGCAATTTTTTTCTTTTGAAGACACCAACATTGACAACTTCCATGTTTTACAATACACTTTTTATAGACAAGTCTGCACTTGCAATATTTTCTGCAAAATATGATTTAAAATTGCTCTACAAGCTAAATCAAAACTGTTCAGCACTAATCATAATCATGAATAGACTGTAAATATTAAATACATTACTTGTAGTTTCAGAACACTTATACTACAATATATAAAATACAATTTATGATCTACATACCTATTCCTAATACTGTAACTTAATTTTAATAAATATTAATACTGGTGATTAATAAAATTTTAAATTATTTTTAAAATTCTATCACAGGTATGTAAAACCATAATTTTATCCAATATTTCTAAGCAATTATATTTGAATTATGGATAATTATGATACAAGCAGAACAAATTATGTGCTGGTCCATATAGCCTCTATGGGCCTATTTTGCTTTGCAGGTTAAATTTCCAAATGAATGGCTTCCAGTTGTGTTGAGCCTTCTGTCTGTGTTGACCCAGCAAACAAAACAATACCAGGAAAGGGAAGAAATCATTGAATTAATCAGTAGGAGGACAAAATAACCCAAATTTCATTAATTATGGTTTTTTCCCTGCAAGAAACAGAATAGTCATATTCAGAAAGTTTTAAAACTCTACTTCTATGGGCTATGTTGGAACAAAATTCAAAAAGTTAGTGTTTTGTTATAGGAAACAATGCTTCTTGCTCCTTCATTTTTTACAAAAATAGATATGATTTCTGCAGAGTGCTACCACCAATCAATCTACAGAGAAAGTGACCAAGGGATGATTTCAATATTCTAAATTCCAATCGCAAGCAACAAAAGCAATAGTTAAGCAAACTTTTTGTGCAATCTTCTGCAAAATCACATCACTCAATTAATAGTATTATTTTGAACAAAAATTATGAAAACACAACTATAAAAATACACTTTACTAGTTACTAGCTCTCTACATTTGGTAACCAGCCTACATAGCTCAACAAACAAGCAAAAAGAACATAATTCGACCAATGTACTTTCTGAATTTTAATACCCTGAAGGATATAAGTACCATGGGAAGTTAACTGTGGAATGCTAAAACACTCAAAACAATGCCTCATTATTGTCCCAAGATCAAAACAAAATGCTTTAGCGTCAAATGTTTAGCTTAGAACATTTCAAGCTCAGAACATTTTGCACATCTCTCCAACCAAAAACTGAATGCTACTATGTCTTTTTCAAACTGATCATATTTCAGAACCAATGAGCAAGTGCTTTTAAAACATCAGCAATCTTAGAACTATTTAGGAAAGTTCAAATTTCTGCATAGCTGATCCCATCATATTATTGGAAACAAAAACTAAGTATAGATGGATTCTATATTCAAATTAAGCTACTATTCTTAAAAATCAATCAATCCTAGTTTACCGTTACAAACAATATAACTAATATGGACAAAGTAAATTATATGTACTAACCATTCTTAAAAGCTCTGCAACAGGAGCAGAATAACCTTGAAAAGAGGTTAAAATGAAACTACTTTTTAAAACTGAAAGGATTTCAGAAGGTTATATGGTGGGATAGAAAGAGCCTGAAATGTTATATTATCAAAATAGATCCCACTATTCAATGCATAGATGCTTTCAGAAACAAATGAAATTTTTGTCCATAAAATATATATTGAATTAGATGGTAAATACAAAGAAGCAGCTGCACTAATTTTGTCACATTTCTTTCCTTTTGGTGAATCAAAGACACTCCAGATGACAAATGGGAACAATTTTGCATTTTAATCGCATGTTTTAATTTTTATTTTAAAAAGCTCACTTTACAGTATGATTTTATATTCAGACAGGACTTACAAGGAAAAATGTCCTGCAGTTAAGCAGAGAGAGAACCATGAGGCAAGTATATTCCATTACTGAACAAGAAAATCTGTTAATACTTTAATTTCTGTGGTTAAATCATTAAATTCTATTGATGAATTTTGCTAAAGATTGAAAAAGTACTTAATTTCTCTCTTAACTGTTACTGTTAATGCAGCAGCTGCTACTTTAAAAAACATATGATAGCTTTACAGCATCTTTAAAACACTTATCACTTCAGAACTTAACACTTATCACACATCAGAAAAGTTAGTCTTCATCATTCCAGGCTTCTAAATGGAGATTTTCATTATGAAGGGCTCCCTACTATTGAAATCACTTTGTATTTATATTTATTTATTTGATTTTTATCACATATTTATATAATACTCCTTCCTCTTCCTATTTTTTTCACAACTCTGAGAAGATGGGTTGGGCTGAGATAGCCTTTCAGAAATAAATGTATGACTTTGAGAAGAATTGTTTGCTTATCCCTCTTGCAGGAATGTATCACCTAAACAGGCATATTGTCCCATTACTTTGCTTTATGCTCAAGTCACCGTTTCCTCGATCTCAATCCTTTTCTTCCTCAAAATATTTTCAAAAATCAGCTCAAATATTCAAAAAATATTCAATTGATGCTACAACAGACCACACCTACTATTATTTACATAATAGTAATATTCTGTAAATTTCTGCATCAATTGTTCTTTTGAAACACCAAATTACCTCAGTAAAATATTCTTTTAGTAACAAATTAAAGGGAATAATTTATGATAGAAAAATACTTCAATAAACAAATGTTACCTTTAAAATGGTAATATTCCAGGTAAAACTCTCCACTGCTTTTTGTAGTTTTCTCTCTTTCAATCCTTCCTTTGCTCCTATATTTTGTAAGTTCTCATGGAACTCCATTGCTGGGGAGTAAGAAATATTTAAACCTTCTTATTCAACTTTTAATGTTTTTACTGTAAGATCTTTTTTTTTGTACTAAAAAGGAAACACACTTATTAATTTCCTATCAATCGATGACTTATCAAAATTAGAAAATACATTAAAAACAGGAATGAAATTAAATTATGCTATTATTGTAAACGTATTAAAATAATTTGTTTTTGATGTTATATACAAAGGGATCTCAGCATGTTTTCAGTTCAGAAACTAGAAACACTGCAAAAGAATTCATATTCAGTCAGTCCCTGGTTGGCTACCTCCTCAATCGGTGACTATATGCAAAATCATTTTTGGAACACTGCAGTATTTACAGCAAAATTTCTTGGCCTGAGAAGAACAGCATTGGGTAGTTCTGATCAGTTTCAGGCAGCAACATGAATCAGTGGGAGGGTTCTAATCAATTAAGATCATAGACCTCAGCTTGTTAATTTTCAGTTAGCACATTTTAGGGCAGCATTCCATTGCAGAGGAAAGCAGCTCTGAAAGAAATGATTTGTTTAAGCAATCTCTTTGGCCAGCAGCAACCAGTGACTTCACTGTGTCTCCCTCAGTCATGTTTGCCTAGCAATCATTCTGCTTAACATCAAAGTCCCTGGAAGTCACTAAATGAGGAGAGGATGTATACAGTTCTCTGCAGACTGCTTTTAAAGAAAAATGGTAATTTTTAATCTTCAATTCTATTTAAGGTATTGTTTCTTTCCATTTGAATTAGTGGCTATGTATTGGTAGCCATAGGACCTACATCACTTAAGTGGAGACTCCAGCCACTGTTAACTTCTTAGCCAATTTCAGCACATTTACTTTATCTGCCCAGTTGGAGGCTCAAGAACTACAAGACAGCTTGAAATATTGAATTTGTGTCTGAAATCATAGTCTCTTCACCTGCAGAAAAAATACAAACAATTCTCTGCCTGAGATACCCTTCTAAGAACAAAGATGTATTGCTTAATACATACTGAACAAAGAAACTGAGTTTCAGCTAAGAATGTTTTATTGTGTAAGCTATATTGATGGGAAACATAATTCTCAATTTATTGATTATATGGCAGCAATAAAGAAATAATACTGAGAGCAAGTGCTTTAGTGCTTGTAAGGCTCACCTTGCCCCTGACAGTTTGTCAGTGGGAGGAGGTTTTCCGCTTTTTAAGGAAGAGTGTTGGGGATGGGGAACGGAATGGTTCTCAGAGAAGGCAGAGGAGGGCAACCTATTTCAGTGGTGTTGGATAATGGGAGATACAGGAGGCAAGGAGGGGGTTGGCATGTGGAACGCAATTTCAGTGTTTACTACAGTGTGTGTGTGTTCTCCTTGTAATTTACCAGTACATTTTGGTTTTGCCTTCTTCAGAATTGGAACTGTAATACATTGGAGAAAAGTAATTTTTTAGGCAGGAGATCTGGTCCAATGGATCCTGTTTAAAGCCTCCACAAAATGTGAGAGCTTCCTGGCAGTCTTGACGATGTTTTGTCCACAAAACCTTTAATAGAAGCCAAAGATCTTTCAATGTGCTGGCAAAGCTGTTTCAATGTGGAAAAGGACCTGTCTAAACTAGGCCTCATTTCAATCTAATGCATCAGGTCTCTCTCTCTCTCTCTCTCTCTCTCCCTCCCTCCCTCCCTGACTGGCTTTGCTCTTTCCCAATGTGCCTGCGGGGCCGGCACTTCGAACATGGATGGATGGATAGAGAGATAGAGAGACAGAGGGAGACAGATAGGTAGTTAGGTAGGTAGATAGATATATTGGTAGATAGGTAGATAGGTAGGTAGGTAGGCAAACCTTTTGGATGGATGTATGGATAGATAGGTAGGTAGATAGATCTATATTGGTAAATAGGAAGGTAGGTAGGTAGACAGAAAGACAGGCAGGCAGGTAGGTAGGCAAGAAGGCATCAGGCAAACTTTTTGGATGCATGGACAGACAGACAGACAGAATGCGACAGCAGTGGCACTTTGGGAAAGTAGAGCAAAGCCAGAGTGACTTTCCCAACGTGCTGCCGCCGCTGCAGTTCAATGTGCCGGCTCTGGTGCAACAGTCAATGGGATGAGCCTGCAGTATTGGCACCTCAAACGCCCCCCTGCTGCCTCTTAGCACCCCTCCTTCAGCAGCCGCTTCCAAGCAGTGCCCTTCCCACCTCCCGTAATCCCCGACATCACTTTGCACTGACTTCTAGGCCTTGGCCCACCAAGCAAAACCTCCCGACACTTGCCTCTACCAGGAATGCTCAACATATCGAAAGGCCCACCCTACATAATTCCTGTGACACAACGAGGCGGCGCATGTGCTTTTACCTCGCTTCCTTGGGGGCGCTAAGAGGCAGCAGGGGGGTGTTCGAGGCACCGGCTCAACAGGCTCTGATGCAACTGTCAATGGGGTGACCATTGACTGTTGCACAGGAGCCTGTGGAGCTGGCGCCTCGAACGCTCCCCTGCTGCCTCTTAGCACCCCCTAAGGCATCCCACCGCCCCCCAGGGAACCACTGTTTTAGGCCCATGTTTCTCATGGTTTGTGAAAGCTCCCCAGGAGGTGACAGGCAGATGGACTCTGGCAGTGATTAACGCTTCCCTATAGGAGGGGTAGTGCTCCAGCACTTTAAGGAGGCTGTGGTCTTCCCTCTTAAGAAGCCATTGCTGGATTCCACCCTACTGGATAATTTCCGATCTGTCCCAATCTTCCCTTTTTGGGGAAGGTTGTTGAGAAGGTGATTGCATGGCAGCTCCAGAAATTTCTGGATGAAACGGATTATCATGACTCCTCAGGCCTGGATTTGTGACAGAAATGGCATTGGTAGTACTTTTGGATGATCTCTGGTGTGATGGGGGTAGTGCATCCATCCTTGCTCTACTTGACCTCTCGGTGGCTTTCAATACCATTGACCATAGTATTCTCCTGAAGCGGCTTCGGGGGCTGAGAGAGAGAGGCCTTGTGTTATCATGGTTCACTTCCTTCCTCTGCGGCCGCTCCCAGTCAGTGTTGATAGGTCACATCTACCTGACCCATCAGAGCGGGGAGGTATCTCCCTGAGGGAGATACACCTGGTGGGATCCAGAAGAATGGCCTTCTCCGTGGTGGCTCACTCTCTCTGGAACATCATTCCCCCCGATATTGGAATGACCCCTACTCTAATACTCTCCCAGAAGGTGCTGAAGTCCTGGTTCTGCCGGCGGGCCCAGGGAACCCAGAGTGGGATGGAGTCCATTAAATGGCTCATGTGATCTACTGTCGTGGGGTGGGGGGTGTTTTTATTGTATTATATTAATTTATTTGATTCTTTTTACTAATTTTATTGTTTTAAATGAGGTTTTATATTCTGTAAGCTGCTTTGAGTTGCCATAGAAAAATAGGCAGCAATATAAATTCAATAAACAAACAAATAAATAAATAAATAATACAGATCCATCCAACTTGCCCTTTCTCTATTTTTCTGGGACAAAAAAGTAAAATATGATTTGATTTTATTGTGTTGTATTTTGAAATGCCAATCAATATTGCTTATATTAGTAAAGAAAATCATTGGCATAAATCTTAAAATTTTTGCTTGTGCAAAGCAAAATGATAGTGAATAAGCTTTCCATTTTAGCACCAGGCTATGCACAGAACTCATATATATTTGGATTTTGTAAGTTGGGAGTATCAAGAAGGAAAAACTAAATAAGTCTCCATATTTTATTGTTTTAAATGAGGTTTTATATTCTGTAAGCTGACTTGAGTCGCCATAGAAAAACAGTCAGCAATAAACGAACAAATAAATAAATACTACAGATCCATCCAACTTGCCCTTTCTCTTATTTTTCTGGGACAAAAAGTAAAATACTATTTGATTTTATTGTGCTGTATTTTGAAATGCCAATCAATATTGCTTATATTAGTAAAGAAAATCATTGGCATAAATCTTAAAACTGTTGCTTGTGCAAAGCAAAATGATAGTGAATAAGCTTTCCATTTTAGCACCAGGCTATGTACAGAACTCAAATATATTTGGATTTTGTAAGTTGGGAGTATCAAGAAGGAAAAACTAAATAAGTCTCCATCTTTTACAATACTAGCATAGAGAAGTTTATGAATGAAAATAATGTATTAACCACAGCATAGAATCATCCTATGTTAGCCTTAGCAATCGTTTTTTAATCTAAAAAGTTAGCATTTAAAAAGATGTTAAATTAAAAAATAGTAATACCACCAAATTAAATATAACTTTTAATACACAATAAAATGTGTTTTCCATAAAAACTATACATTGTTATCCAAATTCATGTACATTCAGAAATAGGCAGCTGGGCACATGCATGCAGGTCACAGATATTTTTGGGGACAACTTTTACTATATGCTCAGAAAAGTTGGGCAGCCTTTGTCTAGCAAAGAGTTGGCCATAGGCTTTACAGAAAACTTGTCATTTAGTTGTAGCTACTGAATGGAAGTTTTGAGTGATAACAAAAGTATGCTCAGCAGCTATTGATAGGTGCAATTTATCCTTCAAATATGGAAAATGAAAATAGCATTCATCTGCCTTTTTTTCACTGACATGTGTCAACTACTAGCAAAAAGACAGAAATGATTACTATACAATATAGAATTATAATGTGTTTGTCTTAGATTAAATGTACTGTTGCAGAGTTAAATGTTTGGGTTAAATTAAATTTGGTATTGCAGAATTATTAAGAATCAGTAAAATTATATATCTGTAATTATGCATGCTAAAATGTAGCATGCGAAGAAATAACTACAGGTGGTCTTTGACATGTTACCACAACTGAGCCAAAAATTGATGTTGCTAAGCAAGATATTACATGAGTTTTGCTCCACAATCTTTCTTGCCATTGTGGTTAAATGAATCACTGCAGTTGTTAATAACATGGTTGTTGGGTGAATCTGATTATCCATTGACTTTCCTTATCAGAAGGTCACTAAAGGTTATCACATGATCCTGGGACACTGCAACAGTCATAAATATGAGACAGTTGCCAACCTTTGAATTTTGATCACGGGGATGCTGCAATGGTCGTAAGTGTGAAAAATGGTCATGTTACTTTTTTCAATGATGTTGTAATTTTAATCTGTCATTAAATGAACGATTGTAAGTCAAGGATTACCTGCACAAGAGAAGGTGAAAATAACAAAGCAACGCCTAATTTATATTTTATCAATGTAAATCTTATAAAATCTGGTACAATTGAAAAACATGTTTAATTTTAATAATAGTTGCTGAAAGAGTATCAAGCTTCATGTTATTTACTTTTTTCTTAAGACTTTTTTCTTTGTGACATCCCATTTGTGGAACATTTTTGTATAATTTCCTGTGCCAGGTTTCTATAGTTCTTCTATTAGTTCTATTTTATCTAGATAGTTACATATTTAGTATTTTTTTACTGTAGTATTTATTCTGTATTGTATTATTTATTATGTGAACTGCTCTGATAAACAATTGCCAAGAAATACTTCAAAACCAACCAACCAGCCAACCAATCAATCAAAAGTAAGTAAGTTATTTTAGATAATGGTAAGAAGTATGATGATTCACTTCAATGTAGCATATAGGTTTTATACCTTTACAAAGAAGTACTCAATGGTTCTTATGGGTACCTTTGGCACAGCTGTTCTATTACAAGGAGATTTACAACTCTCTGAGTTCCCCTTGTATTTACTGTGGCAAAATATGCAAAGTGAGATAAATAATTACAAAGGTTCTTTCTAGAAGATCTCATGATACTTCTAAAATCAATTAATTAGTTATTTTAATGTGATTTTATCATAACTCCTGGGCATAATTAGTATGTAAAACTTACATGTTCACCATTATAAACAACATATAGATATATTGAAGATTGCAGTATGTTTTTACTACTTGGTTCAATGGCTCAACTTGAAGCAATTAATGATAAAGAGCAAAAATTACACATACATACGAAGAGAATGAGTTTGCTTTCTTGCTGTTTTCACAAAAGAAAAATGTTATATTATAGTTAGAACAAGTGCAAATGAAGATTATAAATTACTAATCTGACTTCAAGTTTTCTAAACAAAATTTAGTATTACAGTTTAATCTTCATACAATATTTTGGCTTCAGATGCCAAATAGGATAAACCATCATTAAGAATGCAGTATGAATGTTTAAACAAATCCCAAATTTTTCTACATAAACTTGAAACAGATGAGTTAGAACATATGTGCTTACAGAGGAAACATGAATATTACAAATTTGTGAATTTTTTACAATGCAGTATTGAAAATGCCTTTTCATAATGTAACTGGCAAAGACCTGATGTCTTTTAATATGACTCAATTTTTCTATAATTTTGTATAATTACATACATGTTCATACATACAGCTATGCCAGAAAAAGTTTGAAAAAATATTTTTTTATTCTAGGGCCACAATGTTGGAAACATAGAAGACTGATTCCATACAACAAAATTTAACCAATATCCAAAGAAAAGGCATCTTCTTGATTGGAAACATGGAAAAACAGTGGCCATTTTACCTATTTTTTCGTATTAGTGGAATTCTATGTGAGCTACAAAACTGGTAATTTATGCCATTACTCACTATAATGTTCTGGATACAAAAATAGCCAAAGTGTAAAGAGATATTTCTTAAAGAAATGTGACATGCATATTAGAAGTGTTTTAACCAACAACTATTTCAGAGTATCATCATCTGTCTTTCACATACAACAAAAGGTTATTCAATTATTAGCGTTACTTCTTATATCAGAAAATCCTACTACAGCACAAACAGCAAAATGCCAACATAATTTACATGATTGGGGTTTTTTGTTCCAAAGATTGTGTAATTGTACATTACTATAGAGTGACTTACTGTAAATCTGGGTTGCATATTAAGCTAGGTCCTAAAGTTTTCTTACCTTCTTAAAATTAGTTTATTCTATTTCTTATAAGAAAAAAAAAGACAAAAGCAAACAGTTTAAATGAAATCTTAACAAACTTCAAAGTCACATTGCCAATTGATTTTTCCTAAATGAACTGTTCAGCATTGTTTCTTATACATTAATGACTATTATTTATATCTTACTGATGCAATTTCTTAATTTTATATTACAAATCAATATTTCAAAGAAAATAATTTCTTGTCACAGCTGTTAAGTGAATCACTGCATTTTTTAAGTTAATAACACAATTAAGAGAATCTGGCTTCCTCACTGTCATTGTCAGAAGTTTCAACAGATGATCACATGACCCCAGGACACTGCAACCATCTTAAAAACAATTGTCAGTTGCCAAGTGGTTAAACTTTGATCACATAACCATGGCGATGCTGCAAAGGTTGTAAATGTGAAAACAGTCATAAGTCGCTTTTTTCAATGCCATTTGTAACTTTGAGTGATCATTAAATTAACTGCTGTAATATGAGGACTATCTGTATGATCATACAGGACAGCAGATATGGTGGAGAAATGTTACTTAATGTCAAAGGATTGATATAAAAGAATGAATTTGGGTTGTTCTAAGAGTTTCAACACACATAAAAATCCAACAAAAGAGTGTACTGCTATGTTCCATACAAATCATTCTTTCATATAACCAATTCATCTGCTGCTGTTGTGTCCCCCCGCCCGGGCTCTTACCTGACCTTTATTTCCTGCTTTTTCAACTGCAGTTGCTTTGTGCGACACAGCTGCAGTTGAAAAAGCAGGAAAAAAGGGCTTTTCCAACTGCTGTGCACTTGCACATAGCGCTGCTCAGCTGTCCAGCAGCTCAGCAGGTTGTAAATTGCACTTGCACGACTCACGCATGCACGTGCGACGCTAATAGACAGAATCGGTAGTTATACAAGTCGGATCCCATCCCTCATTTTGCAAATTCTTTAAGCCGTACATTTCTTCTGCTTAGTAGAATATATAATACATAATAGAATATCTAAGCCACCCAGAGTAGCCCCACAGAGAAATGGGTGGCTAACAAATTTAATAAACAAAATACAATTATATATAAAGTATGTAATAGAACAATTGCATGCAATGCAAAGTAATTTCCTTACCTGCTCTTTGACACTGAGCAATTTTTTCATATACAGTATCTGCATTTTCTGTCAGAATCTTTATCATATTAATCATCTGCAAAAACAAAGTTAGCTTTTGTGAATACTGAAGTGTACATATAAAAGTCAACTATTATCCCATTAAAACCAGCCATCTGCCCTGACTGGCAGCAGATCTCTAGCACGTGTACAGCTAAAGATGCCAAAGATTAAACTTTGGTATATATAATGATATAGTATATGCCACTGAAATAAGATTGCACCTTTACATAGATTAGGGAGAGGAGGAAAGGAGGAGTTTTTAAAAAAAAATATTATTTGTAATATTTATTTCTTTAGATTCTTTATGCCCCATTTATCTTAAAGCTAAAAAAATGTTGATGTGCATTTTTGTTTAAAACATTCAGATATTCATTCCCATGTCCCAAAAATTAAAAATCCAGATGATTATATCATAAATAATGTTGGAACAAAAATAAGTCTTGTTTTATTTTGAATTATCTACAGTTTTTTTTTCTTGGTGTATTTGCTTGTGTAAAACATTGAGTTATGCCACTTACATCATTGCCACAGATTCAACCAAAAAATTCAGGAAGCAACAACAAACAGAGAAATTTTTAAATTTTTTAAAAACATTAATGAATGAAAGAAAAGTAAGTATTGAAAGAATCCTATATGTAATCAGTTTTAACACAGACCTATCATCAGCATTAACAACTAGTTTTGTGAGTCAGCTCTAAAGACTCATTGTAGTAATCATCAAGTTATCAAAAAGTTCCGATCAATATGTTGAACTTCAGGTCTGAAAATAAATTACAACCATATTTTCTAAAATACCCTAAACCGAATGACTGAAAGTAACGCTCCAAATTTTTCTTTTAAAATGCTGTATTTTTCTTTTAAAGTGTTATATGTTTTTCAGTCTCATTTTCAAGGTTGCTAGAGTTGTATGCAAAAATGAGTCCAGCAAACGCATATTCATTCATACAATAAAAGCCATTGCAAAAACCAATCCCAAACAAAAAAAACTTCGCTCAAGACCAGACTTATCCATACTGCAAAAAATCTGTTCCTGTGAACTCCACACAGAACTCAAAAACCGTCTAGACAATGGAGAAAAGGATCTATACATTGACTACAGAGCTGATCGCATCAAAAGAAAGTCATACAACCCACAATTCTGCATCCAACCCCACCCTATCCAATCCAACATCACTCAAAACTAGGCACACGTGCCCCTAACTACCTCTATTCCAACCACAACTGGCCTTAAATGCAAGCTACTCAATGCAAGAAGCCTTGTAAATAAAATACCTGAATTTCTCCTCTTACTTATAAATACAGCTAAATTCGATATTATATTTGTCTGTGAAACATGGCTCAACGCATTTCTCCTTGACTCCATTACCACAGTAAGAGACTATCATGTTTACCGATCAGATCGTGAAATCCGTAGAGGAGGTGGTGTTGCTATTTTCTATAAAAAGTCCTTACATCTAAAAAACATCCAAGTAAACCAGGAGCTTGCTATTCCTGAGACCATCGTCTGTGAACTGTTCTTAAATACCACATTTCAGTTCTTACTATGATACAGAGCCCCCGATTATGACATCGAACATGCAAACAAGCTAAATACACTACTAACATGGGCAGCATCCTGCCCACACACTTTTATCTTTCTTGGTGACTTCAATCTACCTCATATTAACTGGACCCTTAACAAATGTACAACTGAACCCACACATGCAACCTTCTACAATGCAGTAACATATCTGGGACTAGAACAACTAGTAACCAACAACGCTAGACTTAACAACTGCCTCAATCTCATCTTCTGCAATAGTTTGAATTCAATTTACGGAATACAAATTAAAGAACCCTTTTCCAACAGTGACCACAACATGATTGACTTTTGTCTCAACATACGTCCACACAAAAATCATCACAATGACGGAATCCCCAATTATAACTTCAAACAAGGCAACTATGATCTTATAAACAACGATCTCTCATCCCTTGATTGGCAATTTCTATTCACTGGATGCAATACTGTAGAAGACCATTACAACATATTTTTATTTGAAGTCAAAAGAGTCATCGAACTATATGTGCCAATAACAACTCCCAAAACCAGAAAAAACAAATTACCCAAAACAATAAGGAAGCTTCAATCCAAAAAGAAATCACTTTGGCAGAAAAACAAATCTAGTCACATTGCCAACTTCAAAAGCCAATACAAAAATTTATGCCACCAGATAAAGACTGAATATACCAATTATTACATTAAACAAGAAGAAAACCTTCTACACACCAATTCCACCCCCACTTTCTACAATTTTGTAAACAACAAACTAAAAGACTCAAGGTCCATCCCACTCCTGAAAGGACCTAATGGTAAAGACTGCAATGACGACACTATTAAAGCTCTATTAAAGCTCTTTAACACATTATTTGGCTCAGTATTTGTAAACAGCAACGGATCATGCCCAGTATTTCCTAGTCGAACCACAGACAACTACAATGATCTAATACATATCGATTTTACAGAAGACAATGTTGAAAAAGCACTACGCAATCTAAAACCATCTCTATCTATTGGACCAGACGGAATATGTGCCTACTTCTTTAAAAAGCTACCCACTGGCATAGCCGAACCTCTAAGCACAATCTTTGAAAAATCTTTTAGGACCAGCTCCTTGCCAAAACTATGGTCACAAGCCACGGTTATCGCCATCTTCAAAAAGGAAGACCCCAGCCTAGTTGAAAATTACAGACCAATCTCTTTATGCTGCATCACCTGTAAAGTCATGGAATCAATTATTAACCAATCCATCATCCTCCACTTAGAAACAAACAACCTGCTCTCTAATAAACAATTTGGTTTTAGGAAAAAACTATCATGTAATCTGCAACTCTTACACTGCAAAAACATATGGACTACACAACTCGATCAGGGCAAAACAATAGACGCAATCTACATAAAGCTTTTGATTCAGTGGTACACAACAAACTACTACTAAAACTAAAATCTTACGGTATCTCTGGACACCTGCATTACTGGATAGAAGCATTCCCATCATACAGACAACAAATGGTCAAAATTGGCACCGTCCTATCAAATTCTGTACCTGTCAACAGTGGTGTCCCCCAAGGCAGTGTTCTAGGACCAACTCTTTTCATACTCTACATAAATGACCTCTGTGATCATATCAACAGCAACTGCGTTCTCTTTGATGATGATGTGTTGAAAGGCTGGAAAATGCCTTTCTTCTGAGGGTTCGGTTTTCCTGCTGGGAGAACTCCAGTGCAAGGATTCAGACAACTGCTTGGAAGCTGGTTCTTTTTATTTTTCAGGAAGGCGAGAGATAGCAAGAAGTCTGCGTTCCTGGGGCTAGCTCCCTTTGTATAATAAACCCCTGATTTTTATACTTTTTCTCCTTTTGTGTGTGAGTACTTGTGTTTGTATTTCTTAATGTTTTAAATCCTGTCAGGGGTTGTCTTCATTTCCGCCGGAGGGTAAACTCCGTGGGGTGCAGAAGGCAAACTTTGCAGGGTAGTTTGATTGGATTATCAGTTTCCTAATGTTTTCTTATATTTGTTTTGTGGCAATCTCCTGTCTGCTATGGAATTTATTTCGTGTCTTTTGTCTATTTGTTTTGCTGATTTGGCATGACCTGTTGTTTGTAAGGGATTTCTTTTTCTTGTTTCCCTAGCTTTCTTAATTACTTGGCTTTTGTCTAGGGGGCTTCTTTCAATACCTTTTATTAAATCTCTTTTCCTATGCAAGTTTGTTTTATGGCTGGCCTGATGTTCCCTTTGGGCTTTTCCTGCTTGGGTGTCACCACTGTCATGAAGTTCCCTTTCCACAGATGTAAAGCTATTTAACACCACAGACAATACTGCTACCCTTGAAAAAGACCTTGACTGTGTATCAGAATGGTCAAACAAATGGCAACTTCAAATCTCAACAAATAAATGCTCTGTCCTACATATTGGCAAAAAAAATCAGAAAATAAAATACAGGCTGAATAGTCAAGACCTTGTTGATGATCCAAACTCTGTCAAGGATCTTGGAATACTCATCTGTAATAGCACCTAAGTGCTAGAGCCCTTAGTGAAATTCAAGCAATGCAATTCCCATGTGTACAGGTTGTCAAGATTTAGCCTTTTCTTTATACCATTATCTTGTTTCATCAATTTTTTTACTATTTCCCTATTTAACCAATCATCTTTTCTTCCCACTGACAGATCTGTGATTACAGAGCTATGATTTTAAGCAAGCAATATTGGCAATTATCCAAGTATTAAAATACACGCTGAATAGTCAAGACCTTGTTGATGATCCAAACTCTGCCAAGGATCTTGGGGTACTCAACTCTAATGATCTAAGTGCTAGAGCCCACTATAACTACATAGCCAAAAAGGCGTTTAAGAGTTGTTAACCTAATCTGACACAGCTTTTTCTCTGGTAATATTACACTAATAACTAGAGCAGTGGTTCCCAACCTTTTTTTTGCCTGACTAATATTCAAATACAGCTCATCAGTCCGGAACCCATATTACGTATCTGACATTAACACAGTTGAGAAAGGCCAGAAATATTTCACAAGAAGAGTTCTCCACTCCTCTACTCGTTGCAGAATACCTTATGCAACCAGACGTGAAATTCTAGACCTAGAAAACCTAGAATTATGCCGCCTTCGGTCCGATCTAAGTATAGTATATAAAATCATACATTGCAATGTCCTACCTGACAATGAATATTTCAGCTTCAACCATAACAACACAAGAGCAAACAATAGATACAAACTCAAGGTTAATCGCACCAAACTTGATTGCAGGAAATACGACTTCAGCAACAGAATGGTCAATGTCTGGAATATTCTACCTGACTCTGTGGTTTCTTCCCCAAACCCCAAAAACTTTAACCTTAGACTGTCTACTATTGACCTCACCCCTTTCCTAAGAGGTCTGTAGGGGATGTGCATAAGTGCACCAACGTGCCTACTGTCCCTGTCCTATTGTTTCTTTTAATTGTTTTATTTTTCTTATATGTATCCATGTATTCATAACTAT